ATCTATGCTGCCTTACGGGTAATCCTCTGTATATAGCCTTTCTGCATGTAGTTGAAACTGTTTGCAACTAATTTGAGAAATGAAATAATTTATGTTGCTGAGGACTATTCGCAGATTTAATTATGCTGATGTTAAGTGCTGGGTTAAGTTATCTGTAGAGCTTGTTTTATCAAAATTAGGCACCTGTTGAAGACATCCTTTAAAAAAAAATAAAAATAAAAGTTTACACTGACACATTAAGGAGCTTTTTTGCTATACTGGTAATTGTGGATAATTGAAATAATGGAGATGACATGCAGGGAGATTGATAGCTTAACAAACAATGATCTCGCTTTTCAGCCAAATGTAAATCTCAATGTATAGGAACTTAAAGCTTTGAAAAGATTGAGAAACAACACAACAATTATCATTAAACCCTCTGCAAGGGGGGATCATAGTAGTTATGGATCGTACCCAACATGTCAACATGACAGTGAAAATTGTGGGGGACAAGTCAACATGTACAAAGCTAAATAGACTAACTCAGAGAGTTGAAAGGGATCTTGGACAATGCACAGGCAACCAGCTTGATTAGAAGGGACGAGTATAATTTTATGTTCATAAGAAACCCTTGCATCGCTACACATTATGCATTGTCCAAGATACACAAACAACAACTTAATCTCATAGGCAGGTCTACTGTGTCAGGAAGAGGGCACTGGAACCGAAATATCAGCGTATACATTAACCACATTCTCAGAGACCTAGTGACAGCTCTCACCTCCGATCTTAGGCAAACTAACCAGACTCCAGCAACCCTCTCATCTTTTAAAGCACCTAAGGCATGCTCCTTTGTTAACCGTCATACTGCCTGGGTAGTCCTATCTCCTCACGTGCAGCTGCAATAAAAAATATGTGGGGAAAACTTGTAGACATTTCAAGATGAGGATTTTGGAGCATGTCAATTCATGTCAACCTATGCTCCAAAATCCTCATCTTGAAATGACTACATGTTTTCACCACATATTTTTTATTGCAGCTGCATGTGAGGAGCTCAGACCAGCCAAGCAGTATGACAGTTAAAAAAATGAGCATGTCTTAGGTCCTCCACTCTCCAGACACCTCTAAATGTGCCTGCAGACCTATCTGATGATATTAGATTTCTAGGGGCTGAATTGATGGATCCCAGGAAGGGAGACCTAGACCAGAAACTTAAATAAGCGGAGTGTTTCTGAGTTTACAAATTGAAATCCCTAAAATCCTATTGGTTTGAACAAAGGTTTCCCCAGCTCCCCTTTTATCTCTGAATAACCCCTGCTTTTGCTGTAGTGGGAGGTTTGTTTATTTCATTACTGCTCCCTTTCAATTCAATATCATTCGTATATATGTATAGTCTCTTTTTATCACATCCATGGCAAGCAGTGGCACATTTTAATGGTCCCCTTCTTTTTTTTTTGGTTTCATACAGGCTGTCTGGCAATATGTGTTTAAGTTTTAAGTGGCTGTTTTCAAGATGTACTGCACTTCATATAATAATCTTGATAATAAGGCTGTTTCATTTAGATCAATACTTTTGACTATCCCCTTACTAAGAAACTTGGTGTATCTCTAAGGATTTAATATTCTGTCCATCCCAGTAATCACTATATTTACTCCATATCCCTCGCCCATGGTTAGTAGGCCACTTGTAGGCCTAGTCCTCTGAAATTCCCCAGATTATCATCAGTGCTGCTTATAAGAAGCATGTCTGGTGCCCCCAGGATTTATAAGTAGCTTTAAATCAGATAAATGCAGGCTCTAAGTCGTCGAAAAGTAATACAAATAGCTATTTCTGCCAGATCTCTCATGAAGTGTCTGCACATCATGGCAGTCAGGCCTTGCCCCCGCTGTCAGTGGTTTTACACTCACAGTCGAGGTACTTTTTATACTGTCTACTTACACCCTGAGCATGCTGTCAGATAATACCTACATTTGATTGATAGATGTTTCTATATGAACATCCTTAATTTGCCCTATAAGAGACTTAGACACAATCAATATATATATATAGTTCTTTTTCTTCCCAGACGCTTTATAATTTGTAGATATCCCTTAAATACTGTGAATCATTTCAATTGACTATTCTAAATCATGGTTGGTGATCCACATAAGCATCACAATATTAAAACCTAAGGGCACATCACAACTGTGTAATATGTTATTTTCACACTTTATTACCACTCTTAATGTACAGGATAATGCTAACACATTTTTTCATATAATATACAATTATTTCATGAAATAAAAGGGAGCAGCTTATTACCAGGTAGGGTCAGTACATTTTGGTAACTTACCCTTTAAAAAAAGAAAAAATGTGAATTGTGGATAATTGTAGTGTTTAAGGAAAAATTCTTAAAACACAGCTATTGTGTAACTTTTCAATACACTTTAATTTAGCCTAAACCATGCAATTCCCTTGTTAATTCTTCACGAATCCAAGTTTGCAGGATAAGCCCCTTAAAAGAACATCGGCATTCTTTTTTATAATACACCATTTTATTAATTTTTTAAACTATGTTTAATGTATATTGAAATCACTTGTCTACGTTTTCCTCTCCCCCTTTCCGTAAAGTCATCTTTATTCATCTTCAGACAAACAGTCAGTTATCTGACCCAATGTTCACTATTTTACAACCATCAGTTGCTTTTCAAAGTTATGTGCTATTTCCGTTTGCAGCATTTTCTCTCAGGAGATGCTGGGGGAAAAAGTTTCAAAATAGTGACTATAGGTTAAAATAACTGCTAATCAAGGCTCAAGATGGCTGTCAAAAAGGTGGAATGTGAAAGATTGGAACAGTATTTCTTCCAAAATTATAATATACAGGATATAAAATCAAGTCAATAATTGTAAAAAGTAATGAGATGGTATATTATATTAAGTATTTTGATGAGAGTTCCACTTAAATGATCTTTATAAAGATAATAATGGGGTTACTGCCCAATATTTGCTGAACTGTCTTCATTTAGACTGATACCAACAGCGAGTGGCAAGGATTGTACTGGGAAATATACCCCATCTAATGCCGTTGCTTTATACACTTTTAATATTTTACGTGTAGAGAGAGCACTTTGTCTCATTTCCAATATTAACAACTTTTTGACATTGCATATGGGGCAAATTTCACCCATTCCCATCGTCTACAAGAATTGCAATAGATTCCCATAATACATAAAGTATGGAGTGGAAAATCAGTGTTTCCAAAACTGAACAAGTACAATATCAGCAACTTTTCTTCTGTGTTTACTGCCTTGTTTAGAATAATTTAATATTAACAAGATATATTGCGGTACGCCTAATTTTTTAAAGTAAAAAAGGGAGAACACTTCTTCTTGTTTTTTCCCCAGAGGAATTTCCATTGTAACTGATACAGCAGGAGAGATTTAAGAAAGTGTTCTAAGAATTGGTCCAAAATACTAAAACTAGGGCAATCACCGTGGAAACCTGTAGGACCAGCACGCACATTCCATATCTGACTCCTCCCCTTTTAGTGTTTTTCACCATTTTTAGAATGGAGCGCACAGATAAATCTCCCCCATCATACAACAAAAGGGCAGGGTGCATTTCATATGCCCAGCAAAAGTATTTTTTCATATGTATGTGTGTTTGCATAAAGTTGCCTATCGATAGATGTATTGGAGATAAAATAAAAAATTATATGAAAAGTTTCAAAATGGAAATGTTGCTTGGCTTCAAAATACAGTGTTAATAAATGTGAATACGTTTAATTACATTGTTATTTTAATACAATATTAAAACAGTGTGTGTTTAATTAGAGAAGTTTAATGCAGAAGTGTAATCCTACTATAAAGATTTATATTTCTATCTGCATAGAATATCAATCCAAAATATGTTCAAAATCTTCATCATGTTAAGAAAAATATAGCTGAATCTAATATTTTTTTCTTATCTTGTAGGCAAAGCTTGCATTCCAAAAAGACATGATCAAACCATTAGCCCCGACTTTCCTTTCATCGCCTCTTGCAGCAGCCGTGTCTTCGGCGTTTTCCTTACCACCTCGACCACCTAGCTCTTTGTTTCAAGGGTCCGGGTTAACCCCAGCATTTCTAAGAGCAGGACATGGATCAATTCGAGCAACTACGGCATCCATTCTCTTTGCGCCATATTAACCACAATGAATCTGTTATCAACAAAAACTTAAACAAGACAAAGGACTAACATTCTCTGTACCATGAAATCCTTGTTTGCTCCGACACATCTCTTGTCTGGATATTGCATTCGAAGAGCACATGGCCTAGCCAAGCCCTCTTGTTGTAGAAAGCTCAGTAAACACAATTCTGTGTTGGGTAGAGACAGCTTTTCATAAGATCATGGCACTGCTTTGTTTGTGATCTATTTCACATCAACAAATATGAATATCCTTCTTTGCCAGTTGGGTTGAAAATTAGGGTCTTAACGGTCCTTTCATGTACATAGATGTTTGGCATCCAAATGTCAATACTGAAGCGTGGAATATACAGTAAAGATTAACAAGTGCTTTATTGTGGATAACACCAAATCATTGGATGATATAAAGTATTCTTAAATGTGATTGACTAGTTAACAAGGGGCCGTGTAATATTGTGTAGACGCAAATACTGTCTTGTCTTGTATCGTTCTAGAATCTAGATTCTATTAGAAAGTTCACACGCTGTTCTAAAGGTGGAAAGCAACTTCGCTTAGATGAATTTTATTTTTTATTCATTTTTTTTTTTTGATAGATGATCCAAACTAGAAAAAGCCATATAATATCAAAATGTCATGACATATTTTTTTGTTGCCTAACTGATTTTTATAGCTTTCTCAATGTATAACTTATTACTATGAAATATAAAATAAATGTTTATAGCCAGAAAGTCTAATTGCTCTATAATAGATCTCTAAATTTCACGGAAAGGAACAAACGTTTGATAAATTTATTATATGAAAGGTCTATACATTCTGTCAAAAAACATTTTATTTATTTATTTATTTTTATTTTTAAATTTTTTTTAAATAATGCATTATTTCTGTGGCACCCTAATGCAATAATGTACAGAGGTAAAATACATATCATTAACTATTTGTCGTCTTTCCATTTCAGAAAACATGTAATAGAATTGGCATTTTACCTGAAGTGTGATAAACTATAAGGATGCGTATTGCAGTGTTTCATTTTGGGGTTGTTACAGCACATTATAGAAGAGAGCACAAATGATAGCCTTCTCAAGCACATTTATTTAGGACATTTTATTCTGCAGTCATTATCGATTTTAATCTCTATGTACTTTTGTAATGTACATTTTCAATAAAAGAATCTTACAAAACTGTGACATCTTGGTGTGTTAGTATTGTCAAGAATTCTGAGATATGGCCAGTAGATGGCAATATAGACACCACATTTATCTTTCTTTTTTTTATCCCCCAATAAACACTTCAACACAAACATTAATTTAGATCTCTTCGGTTTTGGAGAAGTTATGTTAAAATAATGACAAAAACAATTGCTTAGCACACAATAGATCTTGGAATATTTACAGTCAGCAAGTGTTATGTTACATTACATTTGCAAAAACATTGTAGTCATACGCATGCACAACACATTTCATTAGGGTGTGCAACCAGGAGTTATTTATTTATAGTCTTTTTTTACATTTATATAAAGTGAATAATTAATAAAGTACATTCAAGGCACCATAAACACTACAGCCCACTGAAGTAGTTATGGTGCCAGGGCTGTCCTGGTGTCCTCCCAGTGTAATTTGTCATATTGTTTCAGTGGGTTCCACTGAAGCAAGCACCTGCACCCCCTGCTTCTGATTTCTCCTTGCATGCCGCGACTTAGCTCGATGAAGACATCTGGCGTCTTCTACAGAAAACCGGGTCCAGTGGGGCTGTGGTCATGGCCCTATTCCCTGGTGGCCCATTGGGGCTGTGATCATGGTCCTGCTCCCTGGTGGCCCATTAGCTGCCTGGCAGTCCAATGTGAGGAGCATTAAGTAACAGAAAAAGTGACTCATGCAAACACACTGACATACACACACAGTGAACCACTCTGACACATTGACCTATACAAACACACTGACACATACAGAGACTCACACAGTAAACCATACAAACATACTGGCACACAGAGATCCCTACAGACACACTGACACACACAGAGACCAATACAAACACAATGACACATGATGTAGATTAATTTAGAAATAAACAAAAATGTTTAAAAGTCTATCTGTTCCTGTCCAAATCTGAGATGAATAAATTGCGTATACGCAGAAGTAAGTTCACACTGACACATGCAGTTCAGGTTAAAAACACTTCAGGAAATTTATTAGCATCTAGTTAAAAAGCGGGCACGCAGGCCTTTTTATATGCAAAATGACATCATCATTGAATATCAGATAATAACAAATAAACATCATTAATTGGGTTAAATGTTAAGTGGCTATGTCAGTGTCCACCCATTAATATTATTAATTGGCTCAGAGATTTGAGTGACTAGTGAGGCACCCTCCCATCATGGGATGTCGTCGCCATTGCTCTTTAGCACGAGGCTTACTCGGTGGAAAGGGGGGCTTGGGCGTCATTTTACGTAGTTAGTGATGTCAGTCTCGTGGTCTGTTCCAAGGTTCTTTTATGAATAGAACATTTCATTAGTCGCTGTTCTCCTGGCCTTGGATTATACTATGTTGCAAGTCAACGGAGATCCGCTAACTCCGGGGCTAGTTATGTCCTTAGAGAGAGAAAATACAATCTCTTATTCATTATATTGAATACTGTCAGGAAATTCTGTCATGTAAGGTGAACAAAATGGAGAATTCTGTCATAGTGTGATATTAAAATGGAGTTAGTACAATAATTCAATACAGGTTCTAATAAAGATTTTAATAATTCTACATCAGTCCCCCCTATGAAATGTTAGATTCTAAAAGATAATCTTTATTTGTTAGTATCAGAAGACGTGTTAGCCCAAAGGCACAGAAACCCCGTGACCCGCTAGCTAGGTGTTATTGCAAAGTGCAAAGCTGTCCCTTTGTCTGTCCCTAATTGGCTAACTCATCTGTCCGCTGGGCACTCGAACACTTCACTCCATGGGTATCCCGAGGTGGCTAACCCACCACATCTCCGCACGGTAGACTTCCCAGACAGACAGATGCTGTCCCTAAGCTGGTCCCTTCCTAGAACTCTTGCACTCTATCAATAAACGGGATAGATTGTAGCGGTATACAGGGCGAGTTGACTTTTTGGAAATCTTGGTCATCAACTGTGAGGTGTGCGTAAGTGGGTGCCGCTTGGTCTACAGTCTTCAAGAGGAGCTTTCTCAGACAAGGGAGGACACAACAAACGAGAAGAGCAAAGATAAAAAGGAAAATTAGTATTGCTATACCAATATGCATCAAAGCTTTTTGCCATCCTGTCATCCAACCAAACCATCTCTCCCAGGGATCTTTTATCCCAGAGTTCCTCTTTAGCTCCTCAGAGAGCTCTTTCAATTTTCCTATAGCTAAGGTTACTTTACCATTGGGGCCTGTGTTTTCTGGGATGTAAGTACAACATGTCATGGTGTCAGGCAGAATTTTACATACCCCTCCTTTTTCGGCTAGAATCATATCTAAAGCCATTCTATTCTGGAATGACATTTGGGACGTAGCCTGCAGCTGTTCGGCCAAACCCTGAAGGGCATCCCTGGTGTAATTAACAAACCGTTGTTGGTTGTAGTAGATGTAATTTATCCAATTTAAATTCTTGTTTGCAGTGACTATGGTAAAAAGTGATTCAAATCCTGCAGCAACTTCATCCCTGGCTTTAAACTCATTGGGCACCCCCCTAGGTACCCCAATGGCATCAATGTAAATATGAGGGTCAAAACTGCCTTTTACTGGGGCTTCACGCTTTACCTTGGTTGGTGAGTGTTTGGACTCATGAGTCTTTATCCATTCTTGATCTCAGCTGTAGATCCCCACACAACCAGTAAATATCCCCCAATGATCTAGTGTGGAATTGTAGGAGGTTCATAGAGACAGTTCTGTAGGTGGCACAATAACCTTTAGAGAAGTTACCCACAAATTTACCAATTCCATCATAATTAGCATAACAGGTATAATTACCTTTATAGACGGTAACACCATCTGGGGGTTTGCAATCTTTGACTAGAAGAGGATACTCTACTGTCCATGCTTTACATATGGACCTATTGAAATTGTAGTGATAGGCAAAAAGACTCAGAACACATTCTTCTATATCTACTGGCAAAGTTAAAGGCACAGTGCCCAGGTGCGGCCGGGCACCACCACACACATAGCATGCGGTTCTGTTATGTTTGTTGGCATTATTTTTCATCCATTCTAACCATAGATTAACATCATTGAAACCTGTTTCAGCGGCCATGGTATCTTCAAATGTTGGATTTGCAATGGCCATCATGTCTTTAAAAGATTGGATGTGTGGTTTCAACGGATTTGAGACCATGTGGGTGGTCCCTTTCCACTCAGGAGAGTGGCACATATCTTTAAGGTGGAAATGTCCTAATTTATTATAGGAACCCTTCTTCCAGTACATTCCCATTACATACTGGTCTGCATCCGTTGGGCTGGGATGCTCAATGTTTAAGATTAATTTCATAGGTATGCCTCCTCCGGGCTTTCTTAGAGTCATTCTCTGGAGGAGGGACCTACCGTGATCATCAATTTTAGATAAGGCACTTTTTGGTTTGTAACCCCAGGCAGGCCCGGCATTCCATCCCGCCGCCCCCCAATGGTTACAGTTGTGCCCCCATTGTTTGTCAACTACACAAACATAGGGGTCTTTTGAATGAGGGATATCTCTATAGATATTCTGAATCTGTGACGTGGGGAATGGGCATTCTACGATGTCACAGTAGGCAAAAGTATAAGTAGCCACACGGGTACATGATGAATTATACCAGAAGGTGTACCCACTAGCATCTTTAGTGATGGCTACTTGTTGAGCTTTAATTAAGCTGATTAAGAAGATACTGTACCAGAGGTACATGGTGGTGCGGTACTAGCTTCCTCTGGGGCAAGTACTTTCTTACAATGGGAAGCATGGATCCAATGTGGCCGGCCGGCCAATTTGACGGAGGTTGCGGTGATTAGGAGAACTTGGAATGGCCCGTCAAATCTTGGTTCCAAGGTATGTTTCCGCACAAACTTCTTGACCAGAACCCAATCTCCAGGAAGCAGGCTATGGGTACCTGTATCCAAATCGGGATCTGGAATTGAAGAGAAAACTTGGGCATGTATTTTGTTCAAGGCACTTGCAAGTTCAATTACATAGTCTACTAAAACATCAGATTGAAGCTGTAACTGTTGTGGATAATAACAACCTAGTCTGGGTGCGGTCCCAAATAGAATCTCGTATGGGGATAGTGAATGCTTCCCTCCAGGTGTGTGCCTAACACTAAATAGAGCTATTGGTAGACTTTCTGGCCAGGGCATCTTTGTTTCTTGTGACATTTTAAGCATTCTGGCTTTTAAGGTGCCGTTCATGCGTTCCACTTTCCCACTACTTTGTGGGTGGTAAGGGGTGTGAAAGGCTAGGGTCACCCCCAGAGCAGTCCAAATCTCTTTAGTCACTGTTGCTGTAAAGGCTGGGCCCTGGTCACTTTCAATAACTTCTGGAAGTCCAAACCTACATACAACATCTGTAAGTAGACGTTTTGCTGTTGTTTTGGCAGTGATATTGGCTACTGGGTAGGCTTCTGGCCAGCCTGAGAACATGTCCACTATCACTAGTGCATATTCATGGGGCCCGCTCTTGGGCATTTGTATATGATCAATTTGAATTCTCTGGAATGGGTACATGGGCTTAGCCAGATGTTTTGTAGGCACTTTGATTGGCTTCCCTGGATTGCATTTTGCGCAAATGGCACAAACCCTGCAGAAGTTAGTGATCAATGTTGTTATTCCAGGGGCTTCATAATACTTCTGGATGAGGGCGGCCATTAAATCTTTTGACAGATGTGCTGGTCCGTGTGCCCATTGGACAACTGCTGGGTATAAGTTTTTTGGAAGGCAGAATTTGAAATTGTTATAGTATATTCCGTCCTTTAAGACAGCCCCTTTCTTCTTCCATTTCTGGATCTCTTCAGGGGTAATTGCGGCTTGCTGTTCCCGCAAAATCCTTAGATCAGTAGGAAGGGTCTGTAAAGTAAAAACAGGAACTTCTTCTTGACCGGACACTTCTTCGTCCACTTCCTGCAAATTTCTTGCTGCTTGCTTAGCAGCCTGATCAGCCAGATGGTTGCCCCTTGCTTCATCTGTATCCAACTTTCCATGTGCCTTGA